GGCCTCATGGTTCGCATGCTGCAGGAAAAGTTTTTTGTCCTGGAAGCCAGTTCTGTTTGTAGCAATGTGGGTTCCTGAACACTATGTGTTCTGTTGACTAGGGGTTATCAGGCGTGATTTGGACGACGCGACAAAGGGATTCTATAAAGTTCACCTCTTCAAGATTAGGCATCGCTTAAAGAGGAAGGCGGCGGCTCCATTCATCAGAATTTGGCAAAAGGTGGGTAAATCTTGCGCAAATGTGTAGAGTGAAAGGGATGACCTAGAGTGGCATTTAGATGTCGGTTAGGCACAGAATTTTGACCTAACAGGGTTGAACAGAGGCAACCCACCCAAATATTAGGTTAGTTTAGGGTTTTGTTTTTGAATATTTAGTTTTTCCCTTTTTTTTTCCTGTTTAACTTAGCTAGGGTATGCATGCTCATTGGTCCCTTTTATTTCTGTCCCTATTTTTCTTTTGTTTAATTCCCCATCCCCTCCTTCGTTAGGTGGTTAGTGATGTCAGTTTTCTGGTGGATGCGGGACGCCTTTCGTTTCGTGTGTGTGATTTTTTCGTATTTGTTGTTGTGTATGAATGTGTGCGTGTTTGTGTGAATGCTTGATGGTCTGGATGTTTTTCTAATTTTTCTTAGTCCAGCATTGATTTCGTCTGGTTAACTGATGTTTCTGCCACATTTATAGTTTGTGGGGGTTTTTTTATTACTAACTCAGTTTTGTTTATTTTATTGTTAATAATTAAGACATTCTGTAAATATTCATTTGGGGATTTTTTAAAATTGTTATTTTATGACCCCCCCATGAAAAATATTTGTATATATGGGGACTAGTTAGGACGTCATAGAGAATTTGAGGCATTATGGTGGACACAGTAAGAAAGGTAGGAGGGAATGTGTTGTTTTGGTGATTGGATTATTGTTGGCATGTTTGGGTCCGTGTCTGGGACTAGCTAAGTTTTAGATTTAAGACAGAAGAAGACCGTCATTCCCCATCCCCTCTTTAGGCCTTGTGCCGCATTTTGTATTTTAAATGCAAATAAGTATTAGTCGGGCAACTGGTTGATTGGTTGATCGGTTGAACTCTGCCTTTAATTCTAAAGGCACCCGAACGGGCCCCGCCGAAGGGCTTCTCTTTCGGGTGTAAACACCCGTGAACACGTTTGTTGGGGTTCAAACGGTCATTTGCCTCTAGTTCCACGGGCTTTTTTTTTTCACCTTAAACCGGCCTTTTGTTGTACATTTTGCCCTGTGTTAATTTTAAATTAAATCTTCCGTTGAAGCCGGGCGACTGGCTGAAACGTTTGACTCTCCGCCTCGTTTTTAATATGTCCCGAACGAGACTACGTTTTAGGGCTTTTATTTCGGGATATATACCGATATATATATATATATATATATATATATATATATATATATATATGTTCACGGGCACGGAGATCCTTTTAAACTTTTATATATATATATATATGTGTGGTTTGAAGTCTAGAGAAAACTTCTGAAGTCTTATCAGAGAAGGCCTTCAGCCAGTCATTCTTATTTTGATTAGGCAGTTGGAACAGTTTCGCGTAAAAAAAAATACTACTAAACATGATTTTTTGTCTAACCATTTATAAATACATATATACACTGGGTTTGAAAAATACCTGTGTTATTCCAAATCGGTATTCCAGTTTTATTTATTTGTTATAATTTGGACTAAAAATGGATCTAGGAACCGCACCATAACAATGAGGTTTTATTTTTTGATATAGCGCCGAAAGCATCTACCGAGTTAACACAGGAATATCTATCAAATGCATTTCGTGAGGAACTCTTGTAGGTATGGAAAATAATAATTATTTGAATGAAAATTTTGTCATTTTCTTGATCATTTTTTTTACAAAGCCACCAAGAAATTAATTCATGGAATTAAAAGGATCTAAACGAAAATAAAGGTTACAGGGGTTAACTCGGGATTTAATTAAATATTCTTGAATAAAAATATTCTGCCTATATATATATATATATATATATATATATATATATATATATATATATATATATATATAAGTGTGTGTTTGTGTGATATATATATCCACTATATATATATATACACTCTTTCTTAGATTAACAGTGCACCTGTAAAGTGAAACAGAGACCTATATATATATATATATATATATATATATATATATACTACATATATATATATATCAATATCCATGAAAGAGACAACAAGAGAGAAATATGTTGGTGATAGTAACAGTCAGATATATTTTGTTAATATATATTTTTTTATTTTCTCTCTCTCTCTCCTTCACTTATATATATATATATATATATATATAGCTTAGGAGAGCCAAGCCTGCTCTACAGACACTTTAATAGATAGTAATAGAGGGTATTATAGAATAGCAAGATGGATATTTACCTTTTCTGAGGTTATTTCCGGGAAAACGAAGATAAAGTTCCCAACTAAACAATTTCATCTATGTTTTACTTTTTCAAGTTGTCTCTCAATCCATAGCCCAGTATAAAGTTGACAGATGATTATGCAGATAAGATAACTATAATGAACAGTTTGACATAGAGAAAATAGATACATAATGAACAGGTTGTCAATGCCTCAAAAATTGAATAACATGCTTCAACAAACAACGCTCAATATAGATTTGATAGAATGAATCAGATAAATAGATCGAAGATTTTTAGATAGATAAAACAGGCTGACAAGATAGATCTGATTGAGTCAGATGTAAACTTTGCATAGATGCATGGAACTGTTTCGAAAACAAAGCTGGTTCCCCTAGTGAGGTGGGTGGTTAGACACTCATTAGGATTAAAAAAAATGTCCTGTCAGAAGGTGAATGTGCCCTTTCATGGAAACAATATCTATTTAGCACCGGCGCTGAGATGTTGAGGCGTCCAGGCGTGCCATACAATCACTGGGAGCGTTGGAGCCCTTAGAATTAGTCAGTTCTACCAGGGAGAAGGATAAATGCTGGTCGAACATCTGAAGTTGGACAAAAAAAAAAAATGTTCACGATTGATCTATTGCACTGGATTTTTAGGGGGGACCTGCTGGACTTGTTCCGAGAGTGAGATTGACATAGTGCAATGCCATTCCCCATTTTAAAAATTTCATTCGCAGTCATCACTGGATAACTTTATGTGATCTTGTGATGGTCCCACCTGACAACAATCCAGATTGATTGATATGTTTTGTTTTGCTTTTTTCACGGCTTATCAACCCTTTGTGTGTTATTTAAAGACAAAACAAATTTTGGATTGTAAAAATAATGCTTCTCTTTCGCAACTGAATGCTGCATGAAAAAAACTTTTTAAATAACAACAATTAAAAGATACAATTCCTGCTATTTAATCCATAAAAAAATCGAGATTCAATTACAGCCTTTTGTAAAATGGTATTTGAAAAGAACATTGAAAATAATCTAAATTTCTGAACACAGAAAATTTCTTAATCAAATTAAATATTCCTCGTTGTAACATACTAGCACTAAATCCAGCAATGTGGAAAATAACTGGGTATATATATATAAATAGAATATATAATATACGGATATATAAATAACGTTTCAAATATATATATAATAAATATATAGGAAGACTCAGCGTTTAATTGCGATTGCCTATTTTACGGCCCCATATTCTAATTCCGATACTTCATTTCAAATCTGTGATGCTGATTTTCAAGGCCAGAATAATTTTGTTTGTCTTTGAAGGCTGGTGATATAATTTTCTCAACCATTTCTTCTGCCGCTTGATTAAAGCCTCAAATGCCTTCTCTGAAGTTTATTAATCTGAACTTCAAACAGGCTGGTAATCAAACTGTCAATGAGACCAGAATATTTAGTTTTAGCCATTAACAGGTGTCGCCCAGAATCACATTTTTTTTTTTTTACCACCATTTGCTTAAGGAGTTTAAATTTTGAACAATGTCACGAATATGGGGCACTCAATAGAACCTTTGGTCTAGGGGGGAAATCAGGATGGGCCCTTTGATTCCAACAGTTTCTTTTTGGATGAGACCACCTGAGCAAAACATTCCAGTTTATCAGCTTGAATAACTTCAGGATCTTCAAAAATGGTAAATGCAACGTCAAGGGCCATCTATCTTCTTAAACCCCGTTCATCTTTTATCTTTTCCCCAAACTTGAGAGATCTTTTCTCTGTTTCATTCTTTCAACCCCTGAAGTTTACTTGAGGTGGCCTTCCGCATTCATTACGGGCAGAGAAAGGATACCCGTTTTGGTAATCAGACTATTTCGCTCCTCATTAACAAAAGAAAGAGAGGTCTTTTTTTTTATTTACAAAGCATAGCTTAATTTTCGAAACAAGGAGATCATTCAGATTTAATATTTAATATTTACTCGTTAAGGGATGAAAACAACGATGACACTTTTATCTAGGGGAGACTGAAAATTAACATTTATGAACGGTATGATTAAAAACACACCCCGGGGTCTTGCAAAAAAAATAGTTGGAAGGAGACCCCGTTTTCTCGTTGAAAACAGAAAGATATTTCAGTTAGTAGGAATTTATTTGCTGATCTGGTTAGGGTAAAAAAAAAACTAGATTTCATGATCCTTGCCAAGAGGGAAGAGTAGTACGAATAGACAAGAGTCGGAGATAGCTGTTTTAAACAGAAATCGAGAAGAGAAAACTACCGTCAGAATTACAGTGAAAAACTTTGTGAATGTATTAACCTACATGACGTGAAGTGAGACTGGTTACGGCACGTGCAGCCGAGCGGGAATCCAGAGACGGAGAGTAAAGAAACATATGATAGAGAGGGTGAGAGTGAAAGAGCCTTTGAGGGTGAGGGTAAAAGAGAATGTGAGGGTGACAAGAGGCAAGGTTAAGGAATTGCGGAGGAGAGTAGAGCACGTCAGAAAGGAGGGAAGTGTAAAAGAGGAAAGAAAGAGTTGGAAGGTTATCGTCGACAGAGGAAGGGGAGGAAGAAACAAGTGGAGAAAAAGAGGAGAGAGAAAAAAGATGGCGAGATTATAGCGAGGGAGGGAGAGAAATCGGTGAAGGCAGAATGGAGGAGGAGAGAACGAAGAGAGTAGTAGGCGGAGGAAGAGAAAGAAAGAAAAATGTCGCGGAAAAAGAAAGCGGGGTAATGGTAAAAAAAAAAACCGAAAAAGAGGAAGAAGCTGATTCAAAATTGAAGAAAGAAGGAAATGAAAATAAATGCAAAAAGAGGGGGAATGTGGAAAAAGTAAAAGAATGTGAAAGGGGTGGAAATAAAAGAAGGTAAAAAGAAAAACGAAGAAAGGTGAAGACGCAGATTAGAGGGGAGAAAGAAAGGGGAGAAAAAGAGTGGAAAGAAAATAAATAAAAGTAAATAAAAAGAAAAGAAAGGAAAGAAGAAGAAGAAGAAGTGATGTGAAAAGTTGTAGGAGGAGAACGAAGGGCAAGGAAAAAGAATAATCGAGAGGGGGAAGTATTTGAAGAGCAAGAAGAAAAGCTGTAGGAGGAGAACGAAGGGCAAGGAAAAGGAATAATCGAGAGGGGGAAGTATTTGAAGAGCAAGAAGAAAAGCATATGGAGAATGTGGAAGGAGGAGAAATAGAAGGAAGAGGAATTAAGAGATAGAAGTAAAGGGAATAGGTGGGAGGAGAGTGTCATAAAAGGAGGGGTACGCGAGAAATGTTTGGTGAAGAAGAGAAGGCGAATAGGAAGGAGGAGGAGGAGAAAGAATGAAAGGTCATGAAGGAAATTAAGATGCAGGTAGAGAGGAATAAAGAGAGAAAAATTAAAAAATACACATTGACAACAAGAATAATCGATATATCAGTCTCGTTTGCATTGAATGAGGAACAATCAATCAGACTTGGGTTCAACGCTATAGAATTGATCCAGTTTTGCATTGTATCTTTGGGATGAGAGATGTGTTCCATATAACAATTGATGAAGAACGACGCATTGGCAGCATGCGGCTAAGAAACAGAAACATCAACTAACGCATTGTTAGCGATCATGGGGAATAAATGACGGAGATAGTGTTTTATCAAATTGTTTGTTCGGTTATCTGTGTTTTTTTTTGTTTCATTTCAGGGTAATTCAAACAGGCATTTAGTCTGACAAAGCACCAAACGTTTGCCCAATTAGGGCCGGCTAACGTCAGAAACCAATTATTGTAATATGTCTCGAGTATAGGTCGACTCAGGCCTTTTACACACAGACAAAAGCAACGCATCAAACATTTACCTACTTTGAGATGTCTATGAACAGAGGGTACAGATTTTCCAAGCGTAGCTTAGATGTGGCACAAGGCCGAAAGCATGGGGCATCCAGTGAGAATCGAACTCACTTTTCAGTAGTAACTGACATGGCAAGACAAGCTTGCTAACCATTACACCACGCCAAGGTGCCCCATGAACACAGGGTATATGCATTCATATGCCTCGTGTAAAAGTCGATTTTTGCTGTTTTAAGTTTTTTTTTTTTTAAGCGTTTCACCCCAAGCAAGGCGGGAAGCCACTAGGACGCAAGGGGTTACAGAAAATTTGGAGCAAGATCAGATAGGAGTGATAGAGGAAAGGATGAGGAAAAGGGTAGTGGATAGATCAAGGCAACTGGAGATGTCGATTGACATTACATTTGAACAGTTGGAGATTATAGCTCTCAGGGAAACTGGAATAGGGAAGGGAGTTCCACAGGCGAGAGGTGCGAGACATGAAGCTATTAGAGTAGAAGAGACGGCTACATTTAGGAGTTTCGACAGTGAAAGGGTGATAGCGGGATGCCAGCCTCGTCGGGCGCTTGAACTCATGAAGTCTGAGAACCAGCGAATGCAGCTCATCGGAACAATTGTCATGAAAGTATTTGTAGAACAGACAGAGAGAGGCGACGGCGCGTCTGTGAGCAAGTGACTGTAGACGAGGTGCCAGAGCAGGGCCAATTATATAGCATATCCGCCTCTGGAGCCTATCAAGAACCCCGAGGCAAACAGAAGTGGCTCCAGACCAAAGTCAAGAAATCATTATGCTAACAATGCATCAAACATTTGCTTGCAATGGGATGTTTATAAACAGAGATTATGTATTATTATATGTCTCGTGTATTAGTCGAGTTATGCTGTTTTAAGTTAATTCAAGAAATTATTACGCTAACAATGCATCAAACATTTGCTTGCATTGGGATGTTTATAAACAGAGATTATGTATTATCATATGTCTCGTGTATAAGTCGACTTATGCTGTTTTAAGTTAATTCAAGAAATTATTACGCTAACAATACATCAAATGCCTACATTGGGATGTTTAGAAACAGAGATTATATATTATGTTTCGTGTATAAGCCGACTGATAATTGCTAATGTTTCACCTAAAATGTTAGTTGCAGCAATTCGACTTGTACACGGATAGTTCATATTTTTCATGCTTGAGGCTAATAGCTACCCCGAGGACTTCCGCTTCACGTTTTCAAACTCACAAAAGTTTGTGCGAAATTTATTGTTTCCCTCTCATTTTCACGCACTTATTACCTCGGTTTACGGCAACTTTTCGCCTGAAATGTTATCTGCAGTAATTCGACTTGTAGTACACGGATAGTTTTCTCGATATGCCAGCAGCATCAGTTTTCACGTGCTTACCACATGTTTTTGGATTGATTTGTTTTTGCGGCTTATCAACGTTTTTGCAGGTTATTTAAGGCCAGAAATATTTTTAGATTGTAAGGATTAGATTGTAAGGGTTTTTAGGGATATTAATGATCTACTGATACACGTTCTACTAATTAAGTCATAGATTGTGGGGAGATATACCTTTCCAAAGAGGATTTGCGCGTAAGTGAATATGATGAACTCGACTGGAATTCGAACTCGGCTCTCCTATTCCGTGCTGTTATCTATTACCCTACCCGCACATCCAAGCGGTCACGCATCTAAGCACAACGTTGCTTAATTTCAGTGATCATGCGAGAACCGGGGTTTCAACGTGATATGTCCGTAAGCCCAACTAGTCTTCTGTACTTTTAGTTTAGTCTGTTAGAGATCTTGAGGTTTAGGCAGCCAGTCTTCCGGAGACAACTAAAGACAACCGCACGATTAATTTCTGAGAGAAGGATGTAGAGGATCATGTGGGTTTGAGTGCTGTTGAATTAGGAACACGTGCTGTTTATTTCCTGCTAGAAGAACATGGCGGACTCAAGTTGAGTCCAACCGAAGATGTAAAGAAAACAAACAAGACCGATATATATATATATATATATATATATATATATATGTCAACAAATATATGTATTAAACAACAAATTTACAAGTGACAAAGACATCAACCTTTGTGTTTGTGTGTGGACGTAAAAAGTTTATATTTTGGTGAATGTTCGTACGTACTACACTATGTGTGTTTCACGGCGTTTTCCCGAGAGAGATCAGATTTTTAAACGTGTCTGCTGAAATGCAAAGTGAAAAAGAGAACGAAGCAAGAAGTCGCCCACTATTTATAGTGTAGGGAGAGCGTCCCCTAGTGAACGATTCGGAAATTAAGGAGGAGCTAACACGGACAAGGAGCTATCATTATTCACATTATATACCCGCAGATTAATATACTCATCTCTGTTGCTATTATCACACGTTTTGACTCTTGTGCCACCTGGACTTCTTCAGGTGCCTAGCGATCCGCGTAATTCACAGGGTATGTGGGAACTGAACGCTTTATTTAATATTTGGTCTCTTTAGGACTATTCACTTATTTGTAGCGCTGTTCTCCCCTGATTCCGCGTCTTTACTATCCGGCCCAGGCACTGAACACATTATTACTATGCCACCAAATCCAAAAGCCAACGCCTTAATCCACTAAGCTATTGTCCCATGTAATATTCCTACGCTAGGCCTACTGAGGAGCCCGTCATAGCTTACCATATGTGATGATTGAAGGAAACAGCACTTATGCTGTTTCTGATTCTCCACTATTCTACACTGTCTGCTACATTTACTTCATTCCACAGGAGTTGGTGGCCACCCTTTTCACCTCCTAGGCCTTGTGCCACATGCAACTCTCGTGGGGGGGGGGCTAGATATCGAATCGAGTCGAGCCGATAGTAGTTCACTCCAAACCAGACTGACAGTCATACTAACACCTTGTACATCTTGTATTATTATTTCGTGTAATAAACCTTCGTTATTTCTACTCTTGTGTTCGTGTTGTTCTTCCTTGGTCCTAACCTGGACCATAACTATAATCATGTTCAAAATATATTTAGTTGAAGCGATAAAATTATGTTCAAAATATTCACATTTCGGCGTTAAATAACCCATATGCCGCTAAATAAAGTCAACCAACCAAAAAGTCCAACATGAAAGAACTCTTTCGCGACATTAAGCAATATAATATCCGACAATTTCTCAAAGAAATCAAAGTGTATTTCCAAATAAAACTTCTACAAAACTACAACATATAACACGCACATCATTGCCTCCTGTAATGATGTCCACACAAACATATATATGCAGAAAAGCTGAGTATCATCTACCATGTATTCAATTGTGAAAGCAGAATAACATGTATCGCATTTTTATTACTTCATAGCTCACAAGAAAACTAAATTTCGGCATTAAATGACCCATGGGCCGTTGATATGCCGTTATACAAACAAATCAAATCACAAAAGCTGAGTATCATCTACCATGTATTCAATTGTGAAAGCAGAATGACATCTATCATATTTTATTACTTCAAAGCTCCCAAGTTAAATTCCCCCATTCAATGACCCATTAGGAGCCGATGAGCCATTAAACAAACACATCAATCAATCAATTGAAGGTTACGCGCATCGACAAAGAAGGCAGGAGTTCAGAACGGCCGAAACGTTGTGATAACTACAACAAAGATGAGGACATTAGTTCGGATGCAAATAATGTAATTAAAGATGCCCTCAGAAACGATCGAAACCGCCAGAGAGACGCTCGTTAATCCCTCCTCCACGGCGAGGTAACGTATGCTAAGCTTAACAGGTAGCCACAAAAGCCGTGCCTCCAATGATTACCGAATACGTGTCTCGAGGTCATCGGTTCGGGAGACTAACCCTCGCACGTGAAATTATTCTGGTACAAGACCAGAGCAGTAGGACCGTGTGGAAATATAAATCGAACTGGTCGGAGCCCGCTTGTTAACCATCACTCCGCAGTCAGTTGAGTGCCATACCCTTGGGCGATTACTCATCTTTCGAGTCATGACTAACTAGACGGTAGATTTTCCTGCAGTAGGCTGGGTATTTATCATTTCACCCACGGGAAACGAATATGGCACAAGGCCGGTTTTATTGTGGGTTTCCCCGAGCCCGTAGGGTCGGCCAAAAAATAGCCTTTGAAGCCGATTTGACGGGTTCAGGCCCTGTCTACCTCCCCGGACGAGACCTTGCCCTTCGGCAAAGCCTCGTCCGGGTTCCTCTCTGCTAACGCAGAGAGTTCGACAGGAGGCGTGCGCAGTCAAAGACCGCGGGACGCCACTGCAGTAGGCTGTCATGTCTTTCTTCGCTAGATTGGTTGCCAACGGAGGCTACCGAACCCAGTTGGTCCTGCTATTGAACGCATATCTGCGGGGTTGGAAGTGGTGGATTCATGCCTTTCCCAAGGGTATTTATGCGTAAGTGAAAGTCACGACGAAAATGGATACTGGGTTTGCTTAAGATCTTAATACTGCATTTCCTCAAATAAATGCGCCGACTCGAATCAATGCCGCACCCTATCAAAGAAGAACTTTTAAAATAAGCGCCCTCCTTCGAATAAGCCCCTCCCCCCCCACTAACGCAATAAAAATGGTGTTTTTAATTTCAAATAAGTGCCCCCCCCCACACACACACACATTTCCAATAGTGCTTAAGATTTGCTTATATCAACTTACAGTGGCGGGACCAATTAAGACTACGCAGATTCATTCATGGTTTGACCATTTAAAGAATAAAAGTGGATATAATAGGTTTTATTGATATCTGGCCCATCAGAGATTTCTTGCATTACCAGTAATTCCACCTTCATTTTGCAATTCTTCGTTCTCCCCAATGAGTGAAAGGTCTGTCGTAACCAAATCTCGATACCACATTGCTATTTTTAATGCAATATGGGCTTTCGAAATTTCTGCGACAATATCGCATATAATAATAATAATAATAATAATAATAATAATAATAATAATAATGCGGGGAAACGGAAGGTGTTATTATAGCAGCACAAAACCAATTTACTCCATCTAATGCCTACAAGACTAAAATCAACATGCATACCTCAGATCCTGCTTATCGCTTATGCCATAAATTTGACGGAACTGTTGACAACAGAACATCAGAGTTCCCGGTCCTCATACATTATTAGACATGACAGGCAACGTTAATATATTCATTGGCATGTCTGTTTGAACTATGGTATTGAAGACCCGGATACATGGTACAAACACCATCCGAATGATTCATGTCTCGAAAACTTTAAACATTTTTATTTTTTTAAGTGATCGTTTTCTCGGTTTTATCTTTCTATTAGGTTAGTGCGAAAATAATGACGTAAGAATGTCGTTTTCTGACGTTAAAAAATACATCAAAAAACGATATTATTACGTCATTATTTTTGCACCAACCTAATAGAAATGTAAAAAACAGAGACAAGAAATTTTATTTTAATTAAAAGCCATGGACTTCTGGTTAGTATTACTATTAGTAAAATAATCAGTGCCCCCGCTGTTTGCCTTAAGGTCCTTGACAAAATCCAGAGACGGATATGCAATGTGATTGTCCCTGATCTCGCATGTCGTCTACAGTCGCTCTCTCACAGACGTGCCGTCGCCTCCCTCTGTCTTTTCTACAAATACTTTCACGTTAACTACTCCGACGAGCTACTTTCGGACTGCGTGAATTTTAAACGTGCAACTAGGCTATCACCTCGGTCCCACCCTTTCACTTTCGAAACTGTTAAATGTAGCCATTTCTTCTACTCCAATAGATTTATGTCTCGCACCTCCCGTCTGTGGAACTCCCTTCCTACTACTTGTTTCCCTGAGAGCTATAATCTCCAACTAGTCAAATGTAATGTCAATCGACATCTCCAGAGGCCTTGATCTATTCCCTGTCTTTCTCTTCATCCTTTCCTCTATCACGCCTCCTAACTCTCACTCCCACTCTCTGTAACCCCTTGCGTGCTAGTGGCACTACCGCCTTGTTTGGGGCGAAATGCTTTAAAAAAAAAGTCTTCAGAAAATTGCAATTTAAAAAGAAAATTACAATTTAAAAAATAAGCGCTATTGAAATTAGCACTTCTGCCGCCGCCCCCCCCCCACACACACACACGCGGTTGAGAAGTCCTCCTTTTTTACTTCTTCAATCCACCCCCCTCTGCATTTCTTTCTGTCGTCTCCTATCCTCCCATGTTCTATTTTACTCTCCTTCCTCTCTTCCTCCCACCCACCGTCTTCCCTATCCTCCTGCTACTACTCTACAAAAAAACACTTCTCCTGCTGCTTCTGCATCGACGCTCTGTCCAACCTCTCTATTTTCTACATCCTCTTTTTCCTTCTCCTTCTACCCAATTTCCTCCTCCTTTTCGGCTTCAGTTTGTCCTCCTTTCTCTGTCTTCCCGTCTTCCTCCATTTTTCTTATTCATTCTACTCCCCATCCTCTTTTCCACTTCCTTTTCTATTCCACAATAACATTTTTTCTTGCTATCCTCCTCCTGCCCTTTCATATCATACTCTTACTTCTCCTTCTGTCTTTTACATTCTTCTCTTCTTCTTTTTACTTTTTCTTCTCCGTGTTTTTTGTTTTGTTTTTTTGTTTGTTTTTTTTTTTTGTATTTTCTTTTTTTGTTCTATTCCATTTAACACACACTTTTTTCTCCTTCTTACTATTTCCAATTTTTTTCGCCATCCATTTCCCTGAAGATGAACTTAAAAACGTGTCCTTCGGAACTGCTAGAGGTATCGACAAGAACAAGCTATATTTGGAGTCAGTCGGCAGAGAAAGAATGGTTTCACAAAGCAAATACTCCAAGAAATCGACACATTAAGCAATAAGTCTACATCCTTATCTTTTCTTTTCAAATCTCTTTTATGTCTTCTCCGGACGCGTACGGCTTCCGTTCACTAACCAGCCGTGTGCCATACACAACAGAAGCCTTTAAACGCCTCGGCGCTATCACTTTGCAAATGCAAAGTAACCATTCCATTACAATTTAATCCAATAAACAAACGCCTTTGGCTAAACAAGGCGCCATCTTTTGGAAATGTCTTTTCGTATTTGCTGGCTCATTAGCAAAGAGGTGGCGTTCGATTTATTTGTTTAGATGTTTAAATATAAGAACGAAAAAATGAATAAGACAAGTAAGAAGAAGAGAAAAACACAATTATCCATCCACTGATATTATCCTTATATAAATTTCTATTTTCTCTAAAGTATATTCTATAAATATTTCACGCATTGTATGGTAATATTTTATAAGTATGTTATTCTCCCTACATTCTGGAATTATCTGTCTATATTTCTGAGATGAGGTATTATGTACACTATTTATATTATTCGGACTATTATCCTCATCTTTGTCGCCATGTTTATCACAACGTTTCGGCCGTTGTACGCTCCGGCCTTCTTCAGGTGGTTGGAATGTCGAACTGAACCCTTTATTTCGCTCACTGAGGTAGACTGTTCTAGTTCCACGTGCGATGTCTAAGGACACATGGCACAGTGGATAAAGGCGTTAGTTAGATCCAGTGACAGGACCCAAAGAGTGTAAATTCATTACCTGGTTAAGGCAGTGGAGAATTTTCAGATGGGAATTAACAGGAGATAACTGACATGCATTAGACATGGCACGTGGAACTAGAACAGTCTACCCCACTGAGCGAAATAAAGGGTTCAGGTCGACATTCCAACCACATGAAGAAGGCCGGAACGTACAACGGCCGAAACGTTGTGATAAACCTGGCGACAAAGATGAGGATAATAGTCCGAATAATGTATATAGTGTATTCTGTAATTATACTCTCATTTTGGTGATTTCCGTGTGGCGTTTAATAAAATAGTCTTTTGATATCAACTTGAAATGCCAAAAATAGAAACAGCCACCTGATAATACCTGAATAAACGTGGCTACGCGACGTGACAATGAATCTTCTAGATACTGAAGTCGTTGTGTATCAATCAGCTAAATAACAAATTTTATATTTGTATTAATCATATATATATATTATGAAATGGACAAAGTCCGACAATTATTTTTAAGACATTTTTATGTTTATACATTCTTTTTATAGGCACAAATATTTAAGTAAATGCTCTGTTTATAATAAACAGTATTAAACAACATTTACCAGCCTGAATGTCCGAGAAATTTTCATAGAAAATATTCGTCCTCCGACAGGATTCGAACCTATATCCTATACGGAACCGTTATATAGCCGGACGTGCCTTTTAACTGATTTGGCCACAGAAGAGGGTTCGGTTAGCAAGGTCGAATTTACTGTATTTAAACTTCAATCCAAAATGAATCTCTCACGTACATTCATATCTGCTCATGACGTATGAAATGTTTATGTTATGGTCCAATATCCTTGTACCACAGTTATGGTCCAATATCCTTGTACCACAGTTATGGTCCAAGGTTAGAACCAAGGAAGAACAACACGAACACAAGAGTAGAATAACAAAGATACATTACAACAGAAATATAGTACAAGAAGTTGAAGGTGTTAGTAATGACAGTCCGTCTGGTTTAGAGTGAACTAATATTGTCTTGACTCGTTACACCATTCATTCGGTATCTAGTCACCCCCCCACGAGGGTTGCATGTGGCACAAGGCCGAGTTTAACGTGGGTTTCCCGAGATCGTAGGCTCGGCCAAAAATATACCCTTTGAACCCGCCTAGACGGGTTCAGGGCCTGTCTACCTCCACGGACGAAACCCTGCCCTTCGGCAAAGCTTCGTCCGGGTTCCTCTCTGCCAAAGCAGACAGTTCAACAGTCATGACCTGGTGCTCGTTACACCATAGTATATATAATGAATGATCATTATACCTCTTGAGAGGCGCAGTATTTATAGTGTCAGGAAGAGTTCCCATAACATATATTAAGACATTTTTATGTTTATACATTCTTTTTATAGGCACAAATATTTAAGTAAATGCTCTGTTTTATAATAAACAGTATTAATAACATTTACCGACCTGAATGGCCGAGAAATTTTCATAGAAAATATTCGTCCGCCGACAAGAATCGAACCTGTAACATATACGGAACCGTCATTTAGCCTGACGTGCCTTCGATTAGCAAGGTCGATTTTATTGCTTTTAAACTTCAATCTTCCGTCATTTGTTTACATTTGGACACGCTTTGAGCAGATATGAATGTACGTGAGAGATTCATAGAAGATTGAAGTTTTCTTTCTTCTCTTCACCCTTGTTATAATTCCCTTTTCTCTTTCTCTCTTATGAAAGACAAAATAACATGAACACAAAAAGGATCTAATACATAATAATTTATCAAAAGCATTAGTGATACGCAGAAATAGGTTCACACTTATTAAAAGAGATAGTAACTTATTTAGACGGAAAGTTCTTGATAATGCAGCTATCGAATTTCGCCAAAATGTTAACCTGCTTTCCATATTTTTTACAACTATCTCTTTTCCTAAATCATTTCCAATGCATCTTAAATTAAAATCATTTCCAATCTATTTTTATACTAAGATCATTGTCAATGCATTTTATATTAAAATCATTTCCAATGCATTTTCATAGGAAAATCATTTCCAGTACATTTTAATGTAAAATCATTTCTAATGCATTTGCATTGTAAAATCATTTCGAATGCTTTTTATATTAAAATCATTTCCAGTTTTTTTTAAATTAAAATCATTTCCAATGCATTTTCACAGTAAAATTATTTCCAATAAATTTTAATTTAAAATCATTTCTAAGGCATTTTCACAGCAAAAGCATTTCCAATGCATTTTATTTTAAAATCATTTCCAATTCTTTTTTAATTAAAATAATTTCTAATGCATTTCATAGTAAAATCATTTATAATGCATTTTATATTAAAATCATTTCCAATGCATTTTCATAGGAAAATTGTTTCCAATACATTTTAAAATGAAATCATTTCCAATGCATTTTCACAGTAAAATCATTTCCAATACATTTTATATTAAAATCATTTCCAACGCATATTAAATTAAAATAATTTCCAATGCAGTTTCATAGAAAAACCATTTCCAATGCATTTTATTTTAAAATCATTTCCAATGCATTTTCATAGTAAAATAATTTATAATGCATTTTATGTTGAGACCATTTCCAGTGCATTTTCATGCGAAAATCATTTCCACGTGCCTAAACTTTTACGGTCTTTCTTCTCTTCCACCTTGTCATAATTCCCTTTTCTCTTTCTCTCCTATCTTCCAACCCTCTCTTTCTTCCTCCTCCACCTTTTTTTTCTCTTTCTTTTTATTGAACCACCATCTCTTCATCCTCACCCCAACTAGAGATTGTGAACGGCACGCATACACAATCAGCTCGCTAAAATTAACCACGACATTCTTTAATGCACCTATTGATAATCTTATAAAATCCAAGATTTTTTTTTTCTTTTTGTTCTTTGCATGTCTCTAATGCATTCATAATGCGTATGTATGTGATCTGTGCAAAAGTTCCCGGCGGGAAAAACAGGTTTTTCAACTACACATCCATATCGTCGGTGACTTTTGCACACACCCAATACAAACATTGGTTTGCCTTCGCGAATTCGCCGCTGAACAGTCAGTAAATCAATTTATCTCGAAAAGGTCGATCGATGAAAGTTCAATAATCAGTTGAACGCATTTAATTGAAGACGTTTCTATTCAGCCACTGCAATGCATTGGGAGATAATCAATAAGGAAAGAAAGAAGCATATGACCTACAATAACTGGTTTTTTAATTGTCTACATTTTCAGTTTGGCCTCATGAGTTTTTCAGTTTTCATGAGTTCGATCCTCATCGCGTGCGCTATACTTGAGACCCTGTGTCAGACTATAAGCCAAGTAGAAAATACAAATTGGTTGATTTTGTTTGGCGGCATATCAAAATCTATAATGCCGAAACCTAAATATTTCCTACGTAATTTTATGCTTTCAACTTCTTCTTTTTCTTCTTCTTCTTCTTTTTCTTCTTCTTCTTTTTCTCCTCCTCCTCCTCCTCCTTCTTCTTCTCCTTCTTCTTCTTTTTCTTCTTCTTCTTCTTTTTCTTCTTCTTCTTCTTCTTTTTCTACGTCTTCTTCTGTTTCTTCAGTTTCTTCCACTTCTTCTTCTTCTTCTTCTTATCCTCTTCCTCCTCTTTCTCCTTCTACTTCTTCTAAGTCGTCTATTGTTTCTTCCGCTTCTTCTTCTTCTTCTTCTTCTTCTTCTTCTTCTTCTAAGTCGTCTTCTGTTTCTTGCACTTCTTTTTCTTCTTCTTCTCAATCTTCTTCTTCTTTTTCTAAGTCTTCTCCTGTTTCTTCCATTTCTTCTTCTTCTTCTTCTTCTTCTTCTTCTTCTAAGTCGTCTATTGTTTCTTCCGCTTCTTCTTCTTCTTCTTCTTCTTCTTCTTCTTCTTCTTCTGTCTCTTTAGTTTCTTACACTTCTTCTTATTCACTATTTTCCCATAGCTGGGACCCAAACAGGTGCTACAACCACGGGTCAGAGTGAACCTGGGATCAGCAGCAATTAAGTAGTGTTTACACGTTACTCAAAACCGACGATATACCGATCTTGCTGCCGGATGTAGTTTATCGTCATAACCAGGGATAGCGTAAGGGATTTCGAACTGAACCGTTTATTTAATCTACTGGAGTAGGTTATTCTCGTTCCGCTGTCCATATCTCGGGATATCTCAATACTGGAAAAGGGGGATAACATTTACTTTACTTAACAAAACCTATTTTCTTGAAAAATTATTTTCAGAGGAAGATTTTATAAATTTCAGGCGAAAGTAGCACAGGCTCTTCGATCAATGGATGCCGCATGTTTCCTTATAAGGAAACTATTATAAATATTGATAAAGACTCTTCTCACAATTTATGTATCTCGATTTCCTGGGAAGGCAGTCCGTCTCAGAGAAAGGAAATTATGATTGCAAACCTCTGCTGCTTTTCGGTCATATCCAATCATTGGAAAGATTTCGGGGGTAAACCCTGTGGATAAAATATGTAGCTGAAGTCCCAGACGCAATCTGATGTTGCATCCAGCCTCGTTCTGACAAAGAAGGAAAATAAAATTGCAACAAACTATGTGATTCTGTTTGTGATTCATGCTTAAATGCACAGAAATTAAAGACGGAAGACAGCAATATGCACACAGTTTTCAAATTGCACTCACATCCCATAATATTCCACTGTATCATAATATTCCATTATCATCATCATCATCATCATCATCTTCTTCTTCTTCTTCTTCTTCTTCTTCTTCTTCTTCTTCTTCTAAGTCATCTTCTTCTTCTTCTTCTTCTTCTAAGTCATCTTCTTCTTCTAAGTCGTCTTCTGTTTCTTCAGTTTCTTACACTTCTTCTTCTTCTTCTTCTTCTAATTTGTCTATTGTTTCTTCCGCTTCTTCTTCTTCTTCATCATCTTCTTCTTCTTCATCTTCTCCTTCTAAGTCATCTTCTGTTTCTTCACTCTCTTACACTTCTTCTTCTTCTTCTTCTTCTTCTTCTTCTTCTTCTTCTAATTTGTCTATTGTTTCTTCCGCTTCTTCTTCTTCTTCATCATCTTCTTCTTCATCATCTTCTCCTTCTAAGTCGTCTTCTGTTTCTTCACTCTCTTACACTTGTTTTCTTCTTCTTCTTCTTCTTCTTCTTCTAATTTGTCTATTGTTTCTTCCTTCTTCTTCTTCTTCATCATCATCTTCTTCTTCATCATCTTCTCCTTCTAAGTCGTCTTCTGTTTCTTCACTCTCTTACTTCTTCTTCTTCTTCTTCTTCTTCTTCTAATTTGTCTATTGTTTCTTCCCTTCTTCTTCTTCTTCTTCATCACCTTCTTCTTCATCATCTTCTCCTTCTAAGTCGTCTTCTGTTTCTTCACTCTCTTACACTTCTTCTTCTTCTTCTTCTTCTAATTTGTCTATTGTTTCTTCCGCTTCTTCTTCTTCTTCATCATCTTCTTCTTCATCATCTTCTCCTTCTAAGTCGTCTTCTGTTTCTTCACTCGTTTACACTTCTTCTTCTTCTTCTTCTTCTTCTTCTTCTAATTTGTCTATTGTTTCTTCCGCTTCTTCTTCTTCTTCATCATCTTCTTCTTCATCATCTTCTCCTTCTAAGTCGTCTTCTGTTTCTTCACTCTCTTACACTTCTTCTTCTTCTTCTTCTTCTTCTTCTTCTTCTTCTTCTAATTTGTCTATTGTTTCTTCCGCTTCTTCTTCTTCTTCATCATCTTCTTCTTCATCATCTTCTCCTTCTAAGTCATCTTCTGTTTCTTCACTCTCTTACACTTCTTCTTCTTCTTCTTCTTCTTCTTCTTCTTCTTCTAATTTGTCTATTGTTTCTTCCGCTTCTTCTCCTTCTTCATCATCTTCTTCATCATCTTCTCCTTCTAAGTCATCTTCTGTTTCTTCACTCTCTTACACTTCTTCTTCTTCTTCTTCTTCTTCTTCTTCTTCTTCTTCTAATTTGTCTATTGTTTCTTCCGCTTCTTCTTCTTCTTCATCATCTTCTTCTTCATCATCTTCTCCTTAAAGTCGTCTTCTGTTTCTTCACTCTCTTACACTTGTTTTCTTCTTCTTCTTCTTCTTCTTCTTCTTCTTCTTCTTCTTCTTCTTCTTCTAATTTGTCTATTGTTTCTTCCGCTTCTTCTTCTTCTTCATCATCTTCTTCTTCATCATCTCCTCCTTCTAAGGCGTCTTCTGTTTCTTCACTCTCTTACACTTCTTCTTCTTCTTCTTCTTCTTCTTCTTCTTCTTCCTCTAATTTGTCTATTGTTTCTTCCGCTTCTTCTTCTTCTTCATCATCTTCTTCTTCATCATCTTCTCCTTCTAAGTCGTCTTCTGTTTCTTCACTCTCTTACACTTCTTCTTCTTCTTCTTCTTCTTCTTCTTCTAATTTGTCTATTGTTTCTTCCGCTTCTTCTTCTTCTTCATCATCTTCTTCTTCATCATCTTCTCCTTCTAAGTCGTCTTCTGTTTCTTCACTCTCTTACACTTCTTCTTCTTCTTCTTCTTCTTCTAATTTGTCTATTGTTTCTTCCGCTTCTTCTTCTTCTTCATCATCTTCTTCTTAATCATCTTCTCCTTCTAAGTCGTCTTCTGTTTCTTCACCTTGTTTCTTCTTCTTCTTCTTCTCTCTTTACACTTGTTTTTCTTTTCTTCTTCTTCTTCTTCTTCTTCTTCTTCTTCTTCTAATTTGTCTATTGTTTCTTCCGCTTCTTCTTCTTCTTCATCATCTTCTTCTTCATCATCTTCTCCTTCTAAGTCGTCTTCTGTTTCTTCACTCTCTTACACTTCTTCTTCTTCTTCTTCTTCTTCTTCTAATTTGCCTATTGTTTCTTCCCTTCTTCTTCTTCTTCATCATCTTCTTCTTCATCATCTTCTCCTTCTAAGTCGTCTTCTGTTTCTTCACTTCTCTTATCATCTTCTTCTTCTTCTTCTTCTTCTTCTTCTTCTTCTTAATTTGTCTATTGTTTCTTCCGCTTCTTCTTCTTCTTCATCATCTTCTTCTTCATCATCTTCTCCTTCTAAGTCGTCTTCTGTTTCTTCACTCTCTTACACTTCTTCTTCTTCTTCTTCTTCTTCTTCTTCTTCTTCTTCTTCTTCTAATTTGTCTATTGTTTTCTTCCTTCTTCTTCTTCTTCTAATCATCTTCTTCTTCATCATCTTCTCCTTCTAAGTCGTCTTCTGTTTCTTCACTCTCTTACACTTCTTCTTCTTCTTCTTCTTCTTCTTCTAATTTGCCTTATTGTTTCTTATTGTTTCTTCCTCTCCTTCTTCTTCTTCTTCTTCTTCTTCTCTATTGTTTCTTCCCTTCTTCTCCTTCTTCTTCTAAGTCGTCTTCTGTTTCTTCACTCTCTTGTTTCTTCACTTGTTTTCTTCTTCTTCTTCTTCTTCTTCTTCTAATTTGTCTATTGTTTCTTCCGCTTCTTCTTCTTCTTCATCATCTTCTTCTTCATCATCTTCTCCTTCTAAGTCGTCTTCTGTTTCTTCACTCTCTTACACTTCTTCTTCTTCTTCTTCTTCTAATTTGTCTATTGTTTCTTCCGCTTCTTCTTCTTCTTCATCATCTTCTTCATCATCTTCTCCTTCTAAGTCGTCTTCTGTTTCTTCACTCTCTTACACTTCTTCTTCTTCTTCTTCTTCTTCTTCTAATTTGTCTATTGTTTCTTCCGCTTCTTCTCCTTCTTCATCATCTTCTTCTTCATCATCTTCTCCTTCTAAGTCATCTTCTGTTTCTTCACTTCTTCTTCTTCTCTTCTTTCTTCTAATTTGTTATTGTTTCTTCTTCTTCTTCTTCTTCTTCTTCTTCTAATTTGTCTATTGTCTTCTCTTCTTCTTCTCTCTGTCTGTTTCTTCTTCTTCTTCTTCTTCTTCTTCTTCTTCTTCTGTTTCTTCACTTCTTCTTCTTCTTTCATCATCTTCTCCTTCTAAGTCTTCTTTCTCTTTTCTTCACTCTCT